GGTAGGACAGATTTATGAGGCTCTTGAATCAACAGACTCCAAAGATGAACGTTTACAAAAACTACCTGAAATTGCAGCTGATCTGATGGTTTCAGGGTACCCCATTGAGCTGATGGATGGTGATGCTTCGTACGTACCCTTACAATGGGTTGCAGCAATCTTTGACAGGTTAATTGAGAAGTTAGGTGACACGCGAGTCTTTGTCCTGTCCGTGCTTGGCATCCAGAGCACAGGGAAGTCAACTCTACTGAATGCCATGTTCGGTCTCCAGTTCAATGTCAGTGCTGGCAGATGCACCCGGGGAGCTTTTATGCAGCTCATTAAAGTGGACGAGGAGCTGCAGCGGGATGTGAACTTTGATTACATGCTGGTTGTGGACACGGAGGGACTTCGTGCCATAGAGATGGCCAATAAGCACTCACTGAATCATGACAACGAGCTGGCCACCTTTGTCATTGGCATTGGCAACATGACACTGATCAACATCTTTGGAGAGAACCCTTCAGAAATGCAAGACATCCTTCAGATCGCAGTGCAGGCTTTTCTGAGGATGAAGCAAGTCAAGCTTTCCCCAGGCTGCCTGTTTGTACATCAAAACGTGGGCGAAATAACGGCAAAGGAACAGAACATGGAAGGACAAAGGCGTCTGCAGGAGAAGCTGGATGAAATGACAGTGACAGCAGCCCAGCAGGAATTCTGTGACATCACCTGCTTCAGTGATGTCATCCGCTTTGACGTGAACACCCACATTCATTACTTTGCTCACCTGTGGGAGGGTAACCCGCCAATGGCACCACCCAACCCCACCTACAGCCAGAACGTCCAGGAATTAAAGAGCAAAATTCTCCTAGCTGCCAGGAAGGAATCTCCAGGCAGTGTTCTGAGGCTCTCCAGCTTGAAAGTTCGTATTTGTGACCTGTGGAACGCCTTGCGGAATGAAAACTTCATTTTCAGCTTCAAGAACTCGGTGGAGATTGCTGCATACAAGAAACTGGAAACCTCCTTTAGTCAGTGGACCTGGAAACTGAGAAGGCGCATCTTAGACTTGCAAATGCAGCTGGAAAATAAGGTTCGGAACGGAAAGCTGGAGAAAATCACCACAAAAGAACTTGAAAAACAGGTGCAAGAAACAAGTGATGCCATCACCAAAGAAATGGGGAAGTTCTTCAGTGAGGACAGAGACTGTGAGATACTGATTCAGTGGAAAACTAATACGGAACTGAAGCTGAAAGATCTACAAGCATCCCTTCTTGATGAAACCAGGAGGAAGTGTGAGAAACTGCTAGAACTAAAGAAGAACCAGAGTAGACTGGATGAGAGGAAATCTGAATATGAAAATGAGCTCCTGAAAAAGAGCAGGGAGCTGGCTCTGTCTGTAAAAGGCCAGGGATTAAGTGAACAAGAACTGAGAAGGAACTTTGATTCCCTCTGGCTAACCTGGGTTACTGAAGTGTCTTCTAATGCTCCCCCTCTGGAAGAGGTGAACATTGATGCGGAAATAGAAAATGTCCTTCTAGATCACTTCAAGGAGCCTAAAATAGATGAACGAATTGGGAAGTTTTCCAAACAGGCCACCTTTTCACTTGATGAGAAGAAACACGTATCCAAGAAAAAGATTTGGTATAAATTTTGGTCTCATTTGAGTGAGTCTGATTTGAGCACCTTACAGCTCATTACAGATCGCATCATAAGGCGTGTGAAGGAAAACATTGACCAGAAGGAAAAGGACAAAATGGATTACAGTCACACTTTTATTCATGAAATACTAAAGGAAGTGCAAGAAGGTACGGGTACTGTCCCTAGCACTGAAAAATATACATTTACCAAAGATTACAGCATAGATCTTTCAGTGTATCTGTGCAAAACGGCAGCAGCCAGGTTCAAAGACATGCACGCAGCCTTTAGGAAAGCAAATGACCCAGTCATCTACCTGGAGAGCAAGAGAGAAGATTTCTTCACATGTTTCCAGATTTCTTGCCAAGGAGCCACTTCTATCACAACATTTGCTGATTTCCTGTGCAGCAAGATTGCCCCAGGTCTTCGCCTGGCCGTCTATGACAAGACAGCTCTTGTCATAGCTGAACGCATGAGGAGCGAAATACCAGATTTCAATGGCAGTAGAGCCAATCTGGAAGTTTGCATACTGAAGTACCTGGCACAAGAAGAGAAGTTTGAAAAATTCAAGCTGTACCTTACTTCCCCAGTAGACTTTTTGGAGACTTACATTCAGACACATGTTGAGACATACTGTTCAGATCAGAACAGTCGGCTGGTGATGTTTTTAGATACAACTCTTGCCCAGTACTATGAAGCCATTCTGAAAGCTGTCGTTGCATCAACCACATTTGTTAAGGACAGAAGAGACAGCAATAAGAGAATCTCTCTTTGGCTGGATGAATTCTGCAGAGAACTTGGAGGGGTCCTAAGATTGCCCAGGAGTGACCTGGTTGGCATTGAACACCTGGAGATAACAGACATAGAGTTCCTGAATAACGCCATGACGGAGGCACTTTCTCCCCTGAGGGATCTTCTCAAGGAAGAGTTTGCTCGTGCTGATTTGAGCTCATTTGAAAAGCAGCCTCATAAAACACTGCTGGAACAGTTTCCAGGGTGCAAGGAGCAGTGTCCATTTTGTAAGGCAGTTTGCACAAACACTATACCAAACCATGATGGAGACCACCAGCTTGTCTTCCATCGTCCAAAAGTTTTGGGCAGATACAAATGGTATAAAACAGACAACTTGGTCATTGATATTTGCTCTAGCAGTGTTGTCAGCGAGTGTTCCTTCAGGATTGGTGAAGACACATGGATCCCATACAAGAAATACCGAACTGCAGGACATCCTTATTCCACTTGGAACATTCTTCCTGATACATCCGTGCAAAAATACTGGAAATGGTTTGTGTCTCATTTCAGGGCACAGCTAGAAGAATTCTACGAAGGTAAATTTCAAGGTAGAGGAGAAATCCCTGATTCATGGCGCACAGTTACAAAGCAGGAAGCACTTGACGAACTGAGGTAGGCTAAGTTGACATGAAGGAAAATCTGCAACTGCTTTGCATTTTGGAGGAACATGGCATGAGGACATCCACAAAATATTGTTGTGACGATTACGGCCTTCCACGGTTTCATAAGAACTGCATCTAACTGCTTGTAAAGCTGGACAGAACGAGGTGTGCTACTCCTGCCACTCCTCAGAAATGCCCCTGCTTCATGATAAAGTCAAACTCCTCTTCTTGCCATAGATACTTGCATCAGCTTTGTCTCAGAGCAAGAAAAGAGCACATTTCTGCAGCAACCATTCATACAGACAAGGTTGAGACCAAGGCAGCATTGGAAAGTACCAAATTATCTGCAGCTATGTGAAAATAAATGACTGGCAAAAGAACAGATTCCCTGCAGGAAATCCTTGTCACACTTAAAGAAAGGACAGTGATGTCTGAGAGCAGGTAAACATTTGTGGGGAGCTGAAAACCCCTTCTTGCTAAACTTAGTGCTCAGCTCAGTTATAGTGATTTAATTGCACGTTCATTAGGTATCCTTCCTATGCTAAGATGTGCTCACACTCCCATGAGCTCCTGCTCAGATCCCCTGGCACACTTCCCTCCATCTTGCAGCCAATCTAACTACATTTAGCATGTGCTTGGATTCTGGGCAAAAGTCCCCCGTATAACCAACGTAGAGAATTAGTTATCTCTGCAGCTTCCTCAGTAGGCATCAGCAGTGTGTGATGTCAGCATCTGTGTTGTGAAGGCAGGTGGGAACTGGTTGCTGGTCTGGAGAACATCTCACCAGCTCTGCCTGCACCAGCACAGCAGACAGTGGGGTTTGCTGCACAGTTCCTGCAGTACAGTTGATTCTCCTGGAGATCTGATGATTCGTTATAATTTGTAGTCTTTGCTAATAAACTGGTAGAGTTGGACTGGACTGGTCTCAGCGTGCTTTCTTCCGTTTAAGGCACAATTATTGTAGAATCCTTGCATGGTTAGAGTAGGAAGGGGCCTTAAAGCCCACCCAGCCTCAACATCCACTGAGGGGTACACCTCCCACCAGAGCCCCATCTGCCCAGAGCCCCATCCAGCCTGATGTTGGGCACCCTCAATGATTTTGCCTTATGAGAAGTCCTGGAGTCACAATAGAATACTTATTTCTTTTGCCTCAAAGCATGTAAGGGTATTTTCCATGGCTTCTACATATATTATTTCTAAGAACTGGCTCACCATGGCCTAATGAACAGTGGAAATCTCCCAAACTGGGGAAAAGCGAATGAAAGTGAGTCAAAGGCTTCAGTGATGAAGATGAGGTAAAAAAAAGGGGAAGTAGTAAGGTGGGCACTCGACCACCCCTGAGCACGCCCAAAGGGACATTAACACCTGTCTATGAGACCTTGAAAATGAGTGCATATGAGCGCCACTGTGCTGCATATGTGTGTCTTAACTGAAAACATGCAGAGCCGGGACCGTGAGAAGGGGCGCTTGCTTGTCAGGTCACCTGGTGTGCATTGTGAGGAATAACGGAATGCTGCTTTCTAACACCACCTTGGAGTTTGAGTGTTTTCTTCACACTCAAACAGTCTTTGCTAATAAACTGGTAGAATGAGACTGGACCGCTCTCTGCATGCTTGCTTTCTACTTTGCTACACGCTTTCTTTCTACTCTCTACATGCTTTGTGCACTCTGCATTCTTTCTTTCTACTTAAGCTACAATTATTGTAGGATGGTTTGCTACAAGACCAGCTTCAGGGCAGGTAAGACTGCACTGGGAAAAGGACTTAAAGCAAAGAGGCCATCCAAAGAGCTCTTTTTTGGGCTTTTTTGAAGCCAGCAGAAGCACTGTGCCAGTGCCCAGGGGCTGGCAGCAGCTGGCAGCTTGTGGGCAGGCTCCTGAGCCCAGGGGTGGAGCTGGCACTGCCCACTCTTATCTCTGAGCTTGAGCTCGGCCCTTTGCTGCGGGGCTAAAAGCAGCCCTTGGGAGGGGGGAAGCTAGCTTCTGCCCACCTAATGTGCCAGGTGAGAAAAGGTGGGAAAAGAGTGTTACTGTGCACTGATAACGGGGTGGGAAGGCAGAGTGTGAGTGCAGCCCACGCTGCCCGTTCCTGCAGCAGTCGGTGCGGGAGGTGGATCTTGTGGCAGGACCCATCAGTGTTCTTGTCTTGGCTCAGGAGGCTGCTCTCCTACCAACAGACCCTGCGACTGCAGGTTCAAACATGGTCTCTACCAGGCGGTTGCCCCAAGAAGGCTGTAGCAACCCAGACTGAGGGCCTGCCCAGAAGTGTGGCGGTTCAGGTCTCTGGCTGCAGGGAGTGCAGAGCCTGCTGCTGCTGGGGGAGGATGGCAAGGATGCCACCTGCGTGAGGTGCGAGCAGGTGGATGAGCTGCTCAGCCTGGTGGCGGAGCTTAGGGAGGAGGTAGAGAGATGAAGAACCATCAGAGAGTGCGAGAGGGAGATAGACTGGTGGTGTGACTCTCTGCAAGAAAGAAGCGGAGATTGCAACCCCCAGACTGTAGCGGACCCTCTCCCCTGCTGTGGTCAAACTGAGAGAGCCAACATGAGAGGAAAGGAGGAATGGCAGCAGGTCCCAGCTCGGAGACACAGGCAATGCCCATCCCGACCTACCTTGGTTCCCCAGGTGCCTCTATGTCACAGGTTTGAAGCCCTGACACTGGAGGGCGAGGTGGCTGAGGATGAGGTGGAAGGGCTGCCTCCGAGCTTTTCTAAGGAGAGGAGGTCGTCTCCACGCTTGAAGACTGCCTCCAGCTCAGGAAGGAGGGTGATAGTCATAAGTGAAGGGAGCCATTGTGTGGCAGGCTACCTGTGACCTCATTGCCATGGTTATGGAAACATGGTGGGACCACTCCCATGACTGCAGTGCTGCAATGGCTGGCTACAAACTCTTCAGGAAGGACAGACAAGGAAGGAGGGGTGGCGGCCTGGCTCTCTGAATTACAGAGTGCTTTGATGTTATCGAGCTTCAGGCTGGGGATGATAGGGTTGAATCCCTACGGGTAAAGATCAGGGGAAGGGCTGACAAGGCAGACATCCTGGTGGGCGTCTGCTACAGGCCACCGAACCAGGATGAAGAGAAGGATGAGGAGTTCTACAAGCAACTGGTGGAAGCTGCACGATTGCCGGCCCTTGTCCTCATGGGGGACTTTGGCTTCCCTGACATATGCTGGGAATACAACACAGTGCAGAAGAAGCAGTCCAGGAGGTTTCTGGAGTGTATGGAGGATAGCTTTCTGATGCAGCTGGTGAGAGAGCTGATGAGGAGCTGCCCCGCTAGACCTGCTGTTGACAAACAGAGAAGGTCTGGTAGGAGATGTGGAGGTCGGGGGCTGTCTTGGACAGAGTGACCATGAAATGGTAGAGTTCTTGATTCTTGGTGGACTCAGGAGGGGGAACAGCCAAACTGCTACCTTGGACTTCCGGAGGGCGGGCTTTGAAGTATTCAGAAGGCTAGTAGGGGGAATGCCCTGGGTTTCAGTCTTAGAGAGTAAAGGGGTCCAAAATGGCTGGTCACTCTTCAAGAAGGAAGTCTTAAAGGCACGGGAGCCGGCTGTCCCCCTGAGCCACAAAATGAGCTGCTGGGGAAGAAGGTTGGTGTGGATAAATAGGGAGCTATTCTTGAGGCTCTGGGAGAAAAAGAGAATTACCTCCTGTGGAAGAAGGGACGGAGATTCAGAAAGAGCAGAGAGAAGTTGTTAAAATGTGTAGAGAGAAAATCAGAAAGGCAAAAGCCCAGCTTGAACTCAACCTGGCCACTGGGGTAAAATGAAACAAGAAACTCTTTTACAAATACATCAACAGTAAGAGGAGGACTAAGGAGGATCTCCATTCTTTAGTGGATGAGGCTGGGAACGTGAGCATTGAGAATAAGGAAAAGGCAGAGGTTCGGAATGCCCTCTTTATGTCTGCCTTTCAAGGTCAGACCAGTTATCCTCAGGGAACTCCACTCTCTGACCTGGTGGTCTCAGCTGGGGTGCAGACTGAACCCCCCCCGATTCAGGAGGATGCAATCAGAGACCTGCTTCTCCAGATGGACTGTCATGAGTCCATGGGGCCGGATGGATTCACCCAGAGAGCTGAGGGAACTGGCGGAGGTGAGAGCCGAGCCGCTCGCCATTGTCTATCAGCGCTCCTTGTTGACTGGTGAGGTCCCAGAAGACTGGAGGCTTGCCAATGTGACTCCCATCTACAAGAAGGGTCGTTAGGAGGATTCAGGGAGCTACAGGGCTGTCAGCCTGACCTCGGTGCAGGGAAGGTTATGGAGCGGATTGTCCTGAAGGAGATCACGTGGCAGGTGTGGGACAACCCGGGGATCAGGCCTAGCCAGCATGGGCTCAGGAAGAGCAGGTCCTGCTTGACCAACCTGATCTCCTTCTATGATCTTCTGACCCGTCTGGTAGACGAGGGAAAGGCTGTGGATGTGGTCTGCCTAGGCTTCAGCAAGGCCTTTGACGCTGTCTCCCACCTTATTCTCCTGCAGAAGCTGGCAGCCCGAGGCTTGGACAGGTGCACTCTTGGCTGGGTAAGGAGCTGGCTGGAGGGCCGGGCACAGAGAGTGGTGGTGAATGGAGCCAAATGCAGCTGGCGACCGGTCGTGAGCGGTGTTGCCCAGGGGTCGGTGCTGGGCCTGTCCTCTTCAGTATCTGTACTGATGACCTGGATGAGGGCACTGAGTGCACCCTCAGTAAATTCGCAGATGACACCAAGTTGGCTGGAAGTGTGGATGTGCCTGGGGGTAGCGAGGCCCTACAGAAGGATCTGGACAGGCTGGATGGCTGGGCTGAAGCCCATGGGATGAGTTTCAACAAGGCCAAATGCTGGGTCCTGCACTTGGGCCACAACAACCCCAAGCAACGCTACAGGCTTGGGGCAGAGTGGCTGGAGGACTGCGTAGAGGAAATGGACCTGGGGGTATTGATTGGTGCTGGGCTGAAGATGAGCCAGCGGTGTGCCCAGGTGGCCAGGAAAGCCAATGGCATCTTGGCTTGCATCAGAAAAGGTGCTGCCAGCAGGAACAGGGCAGTGATTGTCCCCCTGTACTCAGCTCTGGTGAGGCTGCAGCTGGAGTAGCGTGCAAGTTTTGGGCCCCTCACTCAATGTCTTGACATTGAGGCCTTGGAGCGGGTTCAGAGAGGGGCGACAAGACTGGTGAGGGGTCTGGAGCACAGGGCTGATGAGGAGCGGCTGAAGGAGCTGGGATTGTTCAGCCTGGAGAAGAGGAGGCTCAGGGGAGACCTGATTGCTCTCTATAACTTCTGAAGGGAGGTTGTAGTGAGCTGGGGGTCGGCCTCTTCTCTCGTGTGACTAGTGATAGAACTAGAGGGAATGGCTTCAAGCTGCCAAACCAGGGGAGATTTAGGCTGGACGTTAGGAAATACTACTTCTCTGAAAGAGTGGTCAGGCACTGGAATGGTCTGCCCAGGGAGGTGGTGGAGTCACCGACCCTGGAGGTGTTCAAGGAACGTCTGGATTTTGTGGTGAGGGACATGGTTTAGTGAGAACTGCTGGTGACAGGTGGATGGCTGGACTGGATGATCTTGTAGGTCTTTTCCAACCTTGGTGATTCTGTGGTTCTGTGGTTTGAGTGGAAGGAACCTTAAAGCCCACCCAGTGCCAACCCCTGCTAAGTGCTGGAACGCCACCCACCTGGTCAGGCTGCCCAAAGCCCCATCCAGCCTGGTCTTGAGCACCTCCACGGATGAGGCACTGACAGCTTCTGTGAGCAGCCAGGGCCTCAGCACCCTCTGACTAAAGAATTCCTTGGTAATTTCTAAATCTAAATCTCATTCCCTGTCACAGTCCCTGACAAATCATCCTTCCCAGCTTCCCCAGAGGCACATTTAGCTAGTGGAAGGCCACAAAGAAGTCTCCCTGGAGCATTCTCTTTTCTGAACCGAACAAGCCCAACTCTCAACCTATCTTCATAGGAGAGGTGTTCCAGCCTTCTGAGCATCCCTGTGGCCCCATCGCCAAGGAACTGTGGGGCTCCACCCAGACAGCATCCTCCTTCTCTGTAGTCAAACTTTCTGCGCCCGCTGCCCCAAAATCTATATGCACAGCCCTCCTTCCCTGAAACCCTCATTGATTTATTTATTGCAACTGTGGGGCCCAGGAGTCTCTATGTGGACTTCTGCAAGAGTTTTGATATGGTCCCACACCACATCTTTATCTCTGAATTACGTATGTGTATGGTGTGAAAGATGACTGCTGAACCCTTTTTTTTTTTTTTTCCTTGGCTCATAGCAAACTTTGTGAGGCCTTCCTGGCAATCAGGCTCTAAGCAACAACTGAGAATTATCTAGGGGGACGAGGAGTGGGTGTCACCATGCCACAATATTTCTGCTTATGATTGCAAAGGCAAGCAGTCTTTTTCAGCGGGGAAGGAGTGCTTGAAGGAGCTGACAGTTGTTAAAGGCCATAATGCTTTGCAATGGCAACTGAGGCACCACTCCCTGATGGCTTATGGGGAGTGCCAGGAATGTCACACTAATAGAGAAAACAGAAGATGTGGGGGTGAAAAAAAATTAGAAAAAAAAAAAAAGGAAGTGAGAAGCGGGTCATGAAAGGCCCCCACTGAACTATGTACTTTGGAAGGAGTTCCCTGAAAGGAAGAAACCTCTTAGGAAAGAAGCCCCTAGGCCCTGCTTGCTGCAAAGCTTTCTGGCTTTTCTCCCATCCCCCCGTGACAACTGGACAAGTTCCTCTGCTCAACAATGACAAATGCTGGGTCCTTGGTGGTGCATGCTGCTGGCCCGAGTCCCCCAGCTCCTCTGCAGGGCTGCTCTCAAGGAGTTCTTCCCCCCCCCCCGTCTGTTTAAATGTCTGGAATTGTCCCAGGCCATGTACAGCACCTTGCATTTGGTCTTGTTGGACCTCATTAGATTCACATGGGCCCACTTCTCCAGCCTGTCCACGTCCCTCTGGATGGCTTCCCTTCCCTCCATTGTATCGACTGCACCACTCAGCTTGGTGACATCTGCAAACTTGCTGAGCTTGCACTCGATGCCATGTCTGTTACTGATGAAGGTGTTGAAGAGCACTGACCCCTGAGGGACGCCACTTGTAACCGGCCTCCACCCTGACATTGAGCCATTGATCACAACCCTTTGGCTGCATCCAGCCAGCCAATGTCCATTGAACAGTCCATCCTTCAAATCCACAGCTGTCCAATTTAGAGAGAAGGATGTGGAGAGGGACCATGTCAAAGGCCTTGCAGAAGACCAGGAAGATGACATCCATTGCTCCTGCCCTATTCATCGAAGCTGTCACTCCATCATAGAAGGTCACCAGATTGGTCAGGCAAGACTGCCCTTGGTGAAGCCATGCTGGCTGTCTCAGATCACCCCTTCATCTTACATGTGCCTTAACAAATCTGGAGGATCTGCTCCATGATCTTCCCAAGAACAGAGGTGAGGCTCACCGGCATGTAGTTCCCTGGGTCGTCCTTCCTCCCCTTCTTTAAAATGGGAATAATGTTTCCCTTTTCCCAGGGCACTTCGCCAGACAGCCATGATTTTTCAAATATGATGGAGAGTGGTTCGGCAACCACATCAGCCATCTCTCTCAAAACCCTGGGATGCGTGTCGTCTGGCACCATGAACTTACGTATGTTCCGTTTCATGAGCAGGTCTCGGACGTGTTCCAATGTCACAGTGGGATGGAATCCACTCCTCTCACTCACACCTGGAGGTTCAGGGTCCTGGTGGACATGGGGAGCCTGACCACCTGTGAAGACAGAGGCAAAGCATTTATTGAGCACATCAGCTCTTTCCGTGTCTGAGGAAGCCACTTCTCTGTCCTCCTGTATCGTAGGGGAACACTCTCCTTGGTCTGTCTCCTCCTGCCTATGTACCTATAGACCCCCTATCTGTGATAGCAACCAGATCATAATTCTCAAGCATGTCATGGTTTCCAACTCCTGCTGCTTATTTCCCATGCTGTGTGCATTAGTGTAAAGGCAGTCCAGCTGGGCTTTCTGACACGCCACCTTTCTAGAGGGGCCCTCCCTCAAACCTCCTGGAGAATTCTGAAAGTTTTCCCCCACCGTTTTCTAGAGAGACATGAGAAGGTTTCACATGGAGGGTCAGCAACGTATCCTTCTCTGAGGAATTCCCAGAAGATCCTACAGGACAGTGTGGAGGTTCTTCCCCACAATCTCCTGGTATGACAGCAGCCCCAAGTCTTTCCCTGTCCCGCTGCGCTCAACTCTCTTCCCCCATTGGATCCAGTATAAAATCCCAGACTGCTCGCTCTACCCCAGAAAGCCTCATTGCATCCCCCTCCCCCTTCACACCTACTTTAAAGCCCTCTCAATGAGCCCTGCTAGCTCCGGGCTAGGATCCATTTTCCTCTCAGAGGCAAGGGACACCAACCTGCAGCCATTAGGCCAGGGGCCAAGTAAACCACCTGTCAGCGGTTTATGGGCTGGCTCGGCCCGGTTCCATGACCAGCAGGGCGGAGGGATCTGCGGACCCAAGCCTTCGGGAAAGGGGAAACAGGGGACCCCAAAATACTTGAAAACAACAGCAATAATCTGAGGTAGAACTCAGATTATATATCTACATATATCTATAAAATACTATTTTACTAAATATAGTATTAGCAAAATACAATGAGAGAGAGAGAGAGTCTGTCTGAATGGTAGATAGGCCTCACCACAATGCTGAGGTGAGAAGTGCCGACCAGTTGAGTGACTGAAGAAAAGCAGACGGCAAAGTGCAGATGGCGAAGCGCAGACAGCGAAGAGCAGGAGAAGAAGAAGAAATCAGGTGAGCTTGCACAGAGTTATATCTCCTTGCTGACCGCAAAGCCTCCTGGGGAAAATGTAGTTCTTCTCCGTTGGACGAACATTCGGCAGAAGTCAAACCCCCCCAGTGCATTACATGATGTTATGGTGTGGAATACTGATGACCAAAAATCATAAAATCATGACAATGGAGATCAGTGACAAGTGCTGTCCCCAGGGGTCAGTGCTCGGGGTGGCGCTCTTTAATATTTTCATCAGTGACACTGACAGTGGAGTTGAATGCACCTTCAGCAAGTTTGCTGATGGCACCAAGTGTGGAGTGCAGTCGACACACCAGAGAGATGGGATGCCACCCAGTGGGACCTAGACAGGCTTGACAGGCTTGGTCCAGAAGAATCTCATGAGGTTCAACAAATCCATAAGGAAGGTCTGCACCTAGGTCAGGGCAAGCCCCATTACCAATACAAGTTGGGGATGAAAAGATTGAGTGCAGCCCTGCTGAAAAAGACCTGGGAATACTGGCAGATGGGAAGTTGGACGTGAGCTAGAAATGTGCCCTTGTAGCCCAGAAAACCTACCACACCCCGGGCTGCATCAAAAGAAGTGTGGCCTGCAAGGCAAGAGAGGTGATCCTGCCTCTCTGCTCTGTGCTGGTGAGGCCTCACCTGGAGTACTGCATCCAGATGTGGAGTCCTCAGTGCAGGAGAGACACAGACTGTGCATCTAGTGCATCCAGCCTGAACCTCACCTGGTGCAGCTTAAGGCCATGACATCGAACCTTTCACCTATTCCAGCTTTCTGGCCACCAGTGATTTTTTTCTTCTTCTTTTTTTTTTTCTTCTTTTTTTTTTCTTTCCAATTTTATCAGCTCTCCTTTAAAGGATGAAGTAAATTAGGTATAGATGGGATGGAACTGATTTCCCTCATAGCAGCTCCTAAGGTGCTGTGTTTTAGTTTCCAGAACAAAAACAGTGCTGACAACAAGGGATGTCTTAGCTGAGGCAGAGCAGTGCTTCTCTGTTTCTCACTGTGAATAGATGGAGGGATGAACAAGAGGCTGGGAGGGGGCACCACCAGGTAGGTGGCCCAAACTAAGCAAAGAGATATTCCATGCCTTGTAACTTCATGCTCAGTACTGAAAAGGGAGACGAGGAGGATAAGAAGACAGCTATGTCCTGTTCAGGCATGGGCTGGGCATCAGGCTACCCACAGGAGGTGGTGAGTGATTGATTTTGCATCACTTGTTCAGTTTAGTTAGCAGCCAATAAACGAGGGATGCACACTTACAGGAACGCTCTCCAAGCTCACACCCTGATGTCAGTGCCATCCCTGGCCTCGGCACTAATTGGCGATGGGGAGGCTGTGGGTATGGGGCTGTGACCTCAGGAGCCACCTGATGTCAGAGGCAGCAAACAGCGTCCTGCCCTCTGCTCTCCCAGCCCTTGCTCCACGCACACCTTCAGCACAGGGTTAAAGGTTGTTTATTTTTCATCCAGATCCATGCCTGCCAACTCTGCTTCTCAGAAATCAGAGCTTTTCCTGTAAGAGGCTCAGGCCCTTGTGAAACTGAAAGTGCTTCTCAGGCACATTTTGCTGTCAGAGAAGAATGCCCAATACACCTCCTAAGGTCAGGATTTGATTGGTAAAGACCCAGCTGGCTTCCAGAGCTTTCTTGAGGATGGAGGATTCTGAGAGATGACGCCTTTGTAACCTCTTGGCAGGAAACAGCAACCTGGGAGCTCCCAGCACGCTTGTGGTCTCAGTGACAAAGAGCCTGCAGGGTTGACAGAACCCCAGGGTGCTTGGGGCTGGACCAAGATATCTCTGGGTCCCCCTGGTCCCCCCCTGCCCCAACAGAGCCGCCTGGGCTGTGGGAGATCCCCCAGGAGGAGCCCCCACTGCTCTCTGCTCCCTGTGCCAGGGCTCCAGTACCCACCCAGCACTGCAGTGCTGCTGATGAGCTCCACTACTCTGCTCCTGGGCTCCAGGCTGTGCCCTGTGCCCTGTGACTGCCTGGGCACCACAGAGCAGAACCTGAATCCAATCCCCTGCACCTCCTGTGAGGATTTATGTGGTCTGATCTTGGCGAGACTCCCCTGCTTTGGGCTGAGCAGCCCCGGCTCTCTCAGCTCTCCTCCCAGCACTGCTGCTCCAGGCCCCAGAGCATCTTGATGGCCCTTTTCTGGGTTCACACCATGTTGTCCAAAACATTATAGGTATTCCAATGACTTCAATTCCTATGCAGAGCCAGTCTAGTTGAGAAATCACTGATAGGAAAGAGAAGGGGTCAGTGCCTCTGAGCAGCTGTGCTTGTCCTGCTCCAGCCCTGGGGCTTTCCCTGTGCTACAAGAACTCCCTGAGCTGACTGCTGTTGGTTTCAGGAATGCTTTGGGAATTTCAGCCTCCCAGAGAATAGGATTTATTGGTTGTGCTGTCACATGGATAAGGAATTGACTGCATGACCATATCCAAAGAGATTGAGTGACCATCTCAGTTTTCCTGCAGCTGCCAAGTTTCATTTTCAGTCTGTGCAGAGGTTCCAGGCTATATAAAAGGAGGGTCAGAGCCAGGCTCAGAAAGCACCGGGGCTGTGGAGCACCAAAAGTGCAGGTAGGGCCTGGCTGCTGTGCCTGGGGTGGGGCAGGGGCACTCACACCCACTGGGAGCCCCTTGGTCCTCTGCTTGGTGCTTCATGTCATGCTGCTGGGCTGAGAGGGCCGGCAGGAAAGAGGGGATTGTGGCAGGGGGCAAAGGCGCTGTGCTGTGGGGGCTGTGATGGCAATGGCTGCACTGCGGGGCAGGGGGAGTGGAGAAGGGAAGCATGAAGGACTCGGCACCCAGATCGGGGGCTGCACATGGCAGGGATGGAAGCACAAAGTGCACGGGGAGGAAGGGCAGTGCAAGGGTGGATTGGAAGCAGACCTCCAGGACAGAACTGGGAGGGCTGTGGAGCAGAGCCCAACACAGAGCGCTGCAGCCCTGTGGCCCCACTCTGCATGCTGGCATGCTGCGCTCATTACTGCCTTAAGAGCTCGGTGCAGCATTGCTGGACGTGTGTCACAGTGCACACCGCTTTGGGACCATCGCTGACAGCTGTGTCTGTGCAACATGCCGTGCACACATCCGTCCTTCTTATCTTTGCTTTCACTGGGGTTCCCCATCGAGGGTACACAACGCTGCCTTCCCCTCCCTGCCCCTTCTGTGCCCCTCCAGGATGTGTTCCAGGCTCCATTAACCATTATTTTATGTTTGACCAAGGGAAGATTGGCTTGCTGGGTTTTCTGCTTCTCAGAAATCACCACCTTTCCTGGAAGAGGCTCAGGCCCTCGTGAAACTGAAAGCGCTTCTCCAGCTCAGTTTTCAGAGAATACCCGGTAAGTTTCCTAAGTTCAGGATTTGTTTGTAAAAGCCCAGCTGGCTTCCTGACCTTTCCTGAGGATGGAGAATGCTGAGAGGTGACGCCTTTTTCCTCTTGGCAGGAGCCAGCAACGTGGGAGCTCCCAGCACACTTGTGGTCTCGGTGACAAAGAGCCTGCAGGGTTGACAGAACCCCAGGCTGCTTGGGGCTGCACCAAGATAACTCTGGGTCCCCCTGGTCCCTTCCCTGCCTCTGAAGGGCCACGCAGAGCAGGGAGCCTTGCACCAGAACCCTAGGATGCTTGAGGTTTCCCTAGGATGCTGGTGCCCTGCAGGCCCTCCATCCTCTGAGTCACAGAATCACAGAATTGCAAGGTTGGAAACGACCTGCAAGATCACCTAGTCCAACCACCCTCCCATTCCTATCAGTACCACAAGCTACTAAACCACATCTCGTAGCTCCTCATCCAGGTGCCTCTTGAACACTGCCAGGGACGGCGACTCCACCACCTCCCTGGGCAACCATTCCAGTGCCTAACCACCCTTTGAGAGAAAAAGTTTCTCCTTATATCCAACCTAAACCTCCTCTGGTACAACTTCTGGCCGTAAAGTGCTTCTAGGGCTCTCTTCCTTTCTGATATGAATGAATTTGATTATTAAAGATCAAGTTGGCTTCCCGACCTTTCCCAAGGATGGAGGTTGTGAGAGCTGATGCCTTTGTAACCTCTTGGCAAGAACCAGTGTCCTGGGGGCTCCCAGCATGCTTGTGGTGTCAATGACAAAGAGCCTGCAAGGTTCACAGAACCCCAGGTTGCTTGGGATAGTCCTGGGTCCCACTGCTCCCTCCCATACCCGGCAAGCCCTCCATCCTCAGAACATGGTGCTCCTCCAGCACCATCCCAGTGGTATTTATATTCCTACAGCAACCTCAGGGCACTTCCACCATTGTCCTGGGCAGGTCCCACTGGGGCAGGAGAAGGGCTGGCCTTTATTGCTTTCTCACACAAATCATCTGCATTCATAGCTGCCCTCCCATCAGCGTCTTTTTTTTTCCTTTAGGATTCTGGACCTTTCCTTGTGTTTTCCCTTCTGAATTCTTGGAGTGGTCCCCAGCTTCTTCTTCACAACCCTGCCTTGTCTACCAGGCCTGACAATTGGCTGCGTGCTGCCCTGGTGCCCTGGTGCCCTGCGTCCTCTGGAAAGACAAGTGTCCCCACCAAGATGGGAGGTGAGAGAACTCAGACTGCAAATCCATTTGATGTTTTGCCTTAAATCTTCCCTTCTTTAAATTTTACTTGGAGGAAAAGAGAGCACAAAGCCTCTGCAAGAGTCAAAAGAGCACAGTAGCAAGGGCCTGGCATCAATTCCTGAGATGAAAAAGCCGTAGCATGTTGTTGGTGATATGAGAGCTGATAGCACAGGAAGGTTTTGTGCACTGAATAAATCTCAGTAGCCACCTGAGCAGACAGAAATAATTATCAGCTCTGTATGACAGCACTGAAATGGTATGTGGACAGTGAGAGTCCTCACTTCCTTGCCATTGTCCCATCAAGGACCGTTCCAGTGTCAAGGCGCTGATACATAAAAGGGGCAGTGACCAACTAAACCACACCGGGACAACAACTGCATGGACAGGGGTTAGCAGAGAAAATGCTGATGACTCAAAGTCACCAGTGGCTCTTCATAGGTAACAGAACACTCTGGGCTCTGCTCTAGAGAGGGTCAACATGGATTAACCAGAGGAAACAGAATACATTGAGATATTTGAGGACAGCCAGTGGAATGATGTTGAAGGAAAGTAGAAAGGGAACAAAACTGAGGAAAAGGCAGAAGAGGATACAAAAGGAGCTGCTGCAATGAGACAAGTGGCAGATCACTTGTCAGAGCAAGCCAGGGTCACTGCATTCTGTCCTGCCTCCTTTCTGTCCCTGTGCAATCCCACTCTCTACCTCATGTCTGTGTGCTGCAAGGAAGGAGAACCAGTGACAGGTGAGACCAGTCTGCTGGATACACCTGGGTGCTGCTGAAGGTAGCTCACTGTCTATGGTTGGTTGTGCAGCCGAGTCTGTAGTGTGTTTGTGTGTCTGTCCTTACCTGTGTGTTACTGTGGTGCCCAAAGTTGGGTTTGAGCAGCAGGGCAGGAAGAATCCCTGGAGGTGCAGAGAGGCCTCTTCTATGAAGAAGTGGTGGCCTCTTCTAACGTGCCTTTAACTGAAGTCTGTTTACCTCTTCCATAGCCATGGAGTCCCAGGAGAAGAGAGCAGAGGATTTGGAAAAGGCAAATCTTGCTAAACAACAGCTGGCAGAACTATTTCAGAGCGAAGGACTGGATGAAGAATACTGGCTTATCGTGTTGTTGAAGGTATTAGGTGTGAAATCAAAAGAAGCCTTGAAACATCTGCAATATGAAGACTATCTGAAGCTGGAGAGTGCGGTACGGTACCCCTGGGAGAAAACGGCACTCCGAAAGCTTCTCCAAATTACAGACAACAAAGAAACTCTTGAGCAGCTGCAGAAGCAGTGCCTGGAGATGATGAAGCAGAGGCAAGAAGAAGCCAAGTTAGCTCTGCAGAAGCTGAAAGAAATGCATCACAGCCTCAGCCAGAGCAACGAGATTTTAAGACAGAAAGAGGAGGCACTATGGCAAGCCATGGACATTTCCAGGAAGTACTGGCCACTACCAGAGAAGGCCTTGGCAGATGTGCTTGCAAGCACCCAGAAGCAACTGGAGCAGCAGGAGATGTCTTTGGGCAGGAGTGAGAATGTCTCTGACAAGGATGTCCTGAGACGGGCGTCAGGAGGGCTGGCTCTGCAGGGCATTTACCAAACCAACAGCCTGGAAGATGTGCTGGCAAAGCGAGAGCAGCTCATCAGAGTCCCAGCTGGTTTCAGGCTTGCTGGTCCGGAGCAAGGGTCACTGCTGGAGAGGAAGGAGTTCTCCTCCTCTGCAGCAGAAGCCAATTTCACCAAGTCCATGGAGCAGCTGGGCTTCAGCCTAAGCTTTTTGGCAAAGCCAGTGCGAAATTGAAAGTGACAAGTCTGCAATAAGAAGAAAGCAACTGGACAAGGCCCTTCCTCTCAATCATCTGATGAAATCAGTCCTTGGCTTTCTCCTTTCACAGCCCGTCAACACCAAGAAATACTTCCTGCAGTGGATGAAGATCTTCATGGATGATCTGTCCTCCGATCGCCTTGATGAACTGAAGAGAGAGTATCATCAGTTATGGTCTCAAATCCTGGCAATAAAGAAAAGCATTGAAGGAAACAACTCCAAAACTCTAATGATGAAAAAGTTAGATTCCCTTTCCAGTGAAATCAATGATTCGTCCATTGGTCTTGAGCATATTTTGAGAGAGGTAGGACAGATTTATGAGGCTCTTGAATCAACAGACTCCAAAGATGAACGTTTACAAAAACTACCTGAAATTGCAGCTGATCTGATGGTTTCAGGGTACCCCATTGAGCTGATGGATGGTGATGCTTCGTACGTACCCTTACAATGGGTTGCAGCAATCTTTGACAGGTTAATTGAGAAGTTAGGTGACACGCGAGTCTTTGTCCTGTCCGTGCTTGGCATCCAGAGCACAGGGAAGTCAACTCTACTGAATGCCATGTTCGGTCTCCAGTTCAGTGTCAGTGCTGGCAGATGCACGCGGGGAGCTTTTATGCAGCTCATTAAAGCGGACGAGGAGCTGCAGCGGGATGTGAACTTTGATTACATGCTGGTTGTGGACACGGAGGGACTTCGTGCCATAGAGATGGCCAATAAGCACTCACTGAATCATGACAACGAGCTGGCCACCTTTGTCATTGGCATTGGCAACATGACACTGATTAACATCTTTGGAGAGAACCCTTCAGAAATGCAAGACATCCTTCAGATCGCAGTGCAGGCTTTTCTGAGGATGAAGCAAGTCAAGCTTTCCCCAGGCTGCCTGTTTGTACATCAAAACGTGGGCGAAATAACGGCAAAGGAACAGAACATGGAAGGACAAAGGCGTCTGCAGGAGAAGCTGGATGAAATGACAGTGACAGCAGCCCAGCAGGAATTCTGTGACATCACCTGCTTCAGTGATGTCATCCGCTTTGACGTGAACACTCACATTCATTACTTTGCTCACCTGTGGGAGGGTAACCCGCCAATGGCACCACCCAACCCCACCTACAGCCAGAACGTCCAGGAATTAAAGAGCAAAATTCTCCTAGCTGCCAGGAAGGAATCTCCAGGCAGTGTTCTGAGGCTCTCCAGCTTGAAAGTTCGTATTTGTGACCTGTGGAACGCCTTGCGGAATGAAAACTTCATTTTCAGCTTCAAGAACTCGGTGGAGATTGCTGCATACAAGAAACTGGAAACCTCCTTTAGTCAGTGGACCTGGAAACTGAGAAGGCGCATCTTAGACTTGCAAATGCAGCTGGACAATAAGGTTCGGAACGGAAAGCTGGAGAAAATCACCACAAAAGAACTTGAAAAACAGGTGCAAGAAACAAGTGATGCCATCACCAAAGAAATGGGGAAGTTCTTCAGTGAGGACAGAGACTGTGAGATACTGATTCAGTGGAAAACTAATACGGAACTGAAGCTGAAAGATCTACAAGCATCCCTTCTTGATGAAACCAGGAGGAAGTGTGAGAAACTGCTAGAACTAAAGAAGAACCAGAGTAGACTGGATGAGAGGAAATCTGAATATGAAAATGAGCTCCTGAAAAAGAGCAGGGAGCTGGCTCTGTCTGTAAAAGGCCAGGGATTAAGTGAACAAGAACTGAGAAGGAACTTTGATTCCCTCTGGCTAACCTGGGTTACTGAAGTGTCTTCTAATGCTCCCCCTCTGGAAGAGGTGAACATTGATGCGGAAATAGAAAGTGTCCTTCTAGAACACTTTAAGGAGCCTAAAATAGATGAACGAATTGGGAAGTTTTCCAAACAGGCCACCTTTTCACTTGATGAGAAGAAACACGTATCCAAGAAAAAGATTTGGTATAAATTTTGGTCTCATTTGAGTGAGTCTGATTTGAGCACCTTACAGCTCATTACAGATCGCATCATAAGGCGTGTGAAGGAAAACATTGACCAGAAGGAAAAGGACAAAATGGATTACAGTCACACTTTTATTCATGAAATACTAAAGGAAGTGCAAGAAGGTACGGGTACTGTCCCTAGCACTGAAAAATATACATTTACCAAAGATTACAGCATAGATCTTTCAGTGTATCTGTGCAAAACGGCAGCAGCCAGGTTCAAAGACATGCACGCAGCCTTTAGGAAAGCAAATGACCCAGTCATCTACCTGGAGAGCAAGAGAGAAGATTTCTTCACATGTTTCCAGATTTCTTGCCAAGGAGCCACTTCTATCACAACATTTGCTGATTTCCTGTGCAGCAAGATTGCCCCAGGTCTTCGCCTGGCCGTCTATGACAAGACAGCTCTTGTCATAGCTGAACGCATGAGGAGCGAAATACCAGATTTCAATGGCAGTAGAGCCAATCTGGAAGTTTGCATACTGAAGTACCTGGCACAAGAAGAGAAGTTTGAAAAATTCAAGCTGTACCTTACTTCCCCAGTAGACTTTTTGGAGACTTACATTCAGACACATGTTGAGACATACTGTTCTGATCAGAACAGTCGGCTGGTGATGTTTTTAGATACAACTCTTGCCCAGTACTATGAAGCCATTCTGAAAGCTGTCGTTGCATCAACCACATTTGTTAAGGACAGAAGAGACAGCAATAAGAGAATCTCTCTTTGGCTGGATGAATTCTGCAGAGAACTTGGAGGGGTCCTAAGATTGCCCAGGAGTGACCTGGTTGGCATTGAACACCTGGAGATAACAGACATAGAGTTCCTGAATAACGCCATGACGGAGGCACTTTCTCCCCTGAGGGATCTTCTCAAGGAAGAGTTTGCTCGTGCTGATTTGAGCTCATTTGAAAAGCAGCCTCATAAAACACTGCTGGAACAGTTTCCAGGGTGCAAGGAGCAGTGTCCATTTTGTAAGGCAGTTTGCACAAACACTATACCAAACCATGATGGAGACCACCAGCTTGTCTTCCATCGTCCAAAAGTTTTGGGCAGATACAAATGGTATAAAACAGACAACTTGGTCATTGATATTTGCTCTAGCAGTGTTGTCAGCGAGTGTTCCTTCAGGATTGGTGAAGACACATGGATCCCATACAAGAAATACCGAACTGCAGGACATCCTTATTCCACTTGGAACATTCTTCCTGATACATCCGTGCAAAAATACTGGAAATGGTTTGTGTCTTATTTCAGGGCACAGCTAGAAGAATTCTACGAAGGTAAATTTCAAGGTAGAGGAGAAATCCCTGATTCATGGCGCACAGTTACAAAGCAGGAAGCACTTGACGAACTGAGGTAGGCTAAGTTGACATGAAGGAAAATCTGCAACTGCTTTGCATTTTGGAGGAACATGGCATGAGGACATCCACAAAATATTGTTGTGACAATTACGGCCTTCCACGGTTTCATAAGAACTGCATCTAACTGCTTGTAAAGCTGGACAGAACGAGGTGTGCTACTCCTGCCACTCCTCAGAAATGCCCCTGCTTCATGATAAAGTCAAACTCCTCTTCTTGCCATAGATACTTGCATCAGCTTTGTCTCAGAGCAAGAAAAGAGCACATTTCTGCAGCAACCATTCATACAGACAAGGTTGAGACCAAGGCAGCATTGGAAAGTACCAAATTATCTGCAGCTATGTGAAAATAAATGACTGGCAAAAGAACAGATTCCCTGCAGGAAATCCTTGTCACACTTAAAGAAAGGACAGTGATGTCTGAGAGCAGGTAAACATTTGTGGGGAGCTGAAAACCCCTTCTTGCTAAACTTAGTGCTCAGCTCAGTTATAGTGATTTAATTGCACGTTCATTAGGTATCCTTCCTATGCTAAGATGTGCTCACACTCCCATGAGCTCCTGCTCAGATCCCCTGGCACACTTCCCTCCATCTTGCAGCCAATCTAACTACATTGAGCATGTGCTTGGATTCTGGGCAAAAGTCCCCCGTATAACCAACGTAGAGAATTAGTTATCTCTGCAGCTTCCTCAGTAGGCATCAGCAGTGTGTGATGTCAGCATCTGTGTTGTGAAGGCAGGTGGGAACTGGTTGCTGGTCTGGAGAACATCTCACCAGCTCTGCCTGCACCAGCACAGCAGACAGTGGGGTTTGCTGCACAGTTCCTGCAGTACAGTTGATTCTCCTGGAGATCTGATGATTCGTTATAATTTGTAGTCTTTGCTAATAAACTGGTAGAGTTGGACTGGACTGGTCTCAGCGTGCTTTCTTCCGTTTAAGGCACAATTATTGTAGAATCCTTGCATGGTTAGAGTAGGAAGGGGCCTTAAAGCCCACCCAGCCTCAACATCCACTGAGGGGTACACCTCCCACCAGAGCCCCATCTGCCCAGAGCCCCATCCAGCCTGATGTTGGGCACCCTCAATGATTTTGCCTTATGAGAAGTCCTGGAGTCACAATAGAATACTTATTTCTTTTGCCTCAAAGCATGTAAGGGTATTTTCCATGGCTTCTACATATATTATTTCTAAGAAGTGGCTCACCATGGCCTAATGAACAGTGGAAATCTCCCAAACTGGGGAAAAGCGAACGAAAGTGAGTCAAAGGCTTCAGTGATGAAGATGAGGTAAAAAAAAGGGGGAAGTAGTAAGGTGGGCACTCGACCACCCCTGAGCACGCCCAAAGGGACATTAACACCTGTCTATGAGACCTTGAAAATGAGTGCATATGAGCGCCACTGTGCTGCATATGTGTGTCTTAACTGAAAACATGCAGAGCCGGGACCGTGAGAAGGGGCGCTTGCTTGTCAGGTCACCTGGTGTGCATTGTGAGGAATAACGGAATGCTGCTTTCTAACACCACCTTGGAGTTTGAGTGTTTTCTTCACGGATTTGGATGACAGTCTTTGCTAATAAACTGGTAGAATGAGACTGGACCGCTCTCTGCATGCTTGCTTTCTACTTTGCTACACGCTTTCTTTCTACTCTCTACATGCTTTGTGCGCTCTGCATTCTTTCTTTCTACTTAAGCTACAATTATTGTAGGATGGTTTGCTACAAGACCAGCTTCAGGGCAGGTAAGACTGCACTGGGAAAAGGACTTGAAGCAAAGAGGCCATCCAAAGAGCTCTTTTTTGGGCTTTTTTGAAGCCAGCAGAAGCACTGTGCCAGTGCCCAGGGGCTGGCAGCAGCTGGCAGCTTGTGGGCAGGCTCCTGAGCCAGCAGGGGTGGAGCTGGCACTGCCCACTCTTATCTCAGCTTGAGCTCGGCCCTTTGCTGCGGGGCTAAAAGCAGCCCTTGGGAGGGGGGAAGCTAGCTTCTGCCCACCTAATGTGCCAGGTGAGAAAAGGTGGGAAAAGAGTGTTACTGTGCACTGATAACGGGGTGGGAAGGCAGAGTGTGAGTGCAGCCCACGCTGCCCGTTCCTGCAGCAGTCGGTGTGGGAGGTGGATCTTGTGGCAGGACCCATCAGTGTTCTTGTCTTGGCTCAGGAGGCTGCTCTTCTACCAACAGACCCTGCGACTGCAGGTTCAAACATGGTCTCTACCAGGCGGTTGCCCCAAGAAGGCTGTAGCAACCCAGACGGAGGGCCTGCCCAGAAGTGTGGCGGTTCAGGTCTCTGGCTGCAGGGAGTGCAGAGCCTGCTGCTGCTGGGGGAGGATAGCAAGGATGCCACCTGCGTGAGGTGCGAGCAGGTGGATGAGCTGCTCAGCCTGGTGGCGGAGCTTAGGGAGGAGGTAGAGAGATGAAGAACCATCAGAGAGTGCGAGAGGGAGATAGACTGGTGGTGTGACTCTCTGCAAGAAAGAGGCGGAGATTGCAACCCCCAGACTGTAGCGGACCCTCTCCCCTGCCGTGGTCAAACTGAGAGAGCCAACATGAGAGGAAAGGAGGAATGGCAGCAGGTCCCAGCTCGGAGACACAGGAAATGCCCATCCTGACCTACCTCGGTTCCCCAGGTGCCTCGATGTCACAGGTTTGAAGCCCTGACACTGGAGTGTGAGGTGGCTGAGGATGAGGTGGAAGGGCTGCCTCCGAGCTTTTCTAAGGAGAGGAGGTCGTCTCCACGCTTGAAGACTGCCTCCAGCACAGGAAGGAGGGTGATAGTCATAGGTGAAGGGAGCCATTGTGTGGCAGGCTACCTGTGACCTCATTGCCATGGTTATGGAAACATGGTGGGACCACTCCCATGACTGCAGTGCTGCAATGGCTGGCTACAAACTCTTCAGGAAGGACAGACAAGGAAGGAGGGGTGGCGGCCTGGCTCTCTGAATTACAGAGTGCTTTGATGTTATCGAGCTTCAGGCTGGGGATGATAGGGTTGAATCCCTACGGGTAAAGATCAGGGGAAGGGCTGACAAGGCAGACATCCTGGTGGGCGTCTGCTACAGGCCACCGAACCAGGATGAAGAGAAGGACGAGGAGTTCTACAAGCAACTGGTGGAAGCTGCACGATTGCCGGCCCTTGTCCTCATGGGGGACTTTGGCTTCCCTGACGTATGCTGGGAATACAACACAGTGCAGAAGAAGCAGTCCAGGAGGTTTCTGGAGTGTATGGAGGATAGCTTTCTGATGCAGCTGGTGAGAGAGCTGATGAGGAGCTGCCCCGCTAGACCTGCTGTTGACAAACAGAGAAGGTCTGGTAGGAGATGTGGAGGTCGGGGGCTGTCTTGGACAGAGTGACCATGAAATGGTAGAGTTCTTGATTCTTGGTGGACTCAGGAGGGGGAACAGCCAAACTGCTACCTTGGACTTCCGGAGGGCGGGCTTTGAAGTATTCAGAAGGCTAGTAGGGGGAATGCCCTGGGTTTCAGTCTTAGAGAGTAAAGGGGTCCAAAATGGCTGGTCACTCTTCAAGAAGGAAGTCTTAAAGGCACGGGAGCCGGCTGTCCCCCTGAGCCACAGAATGAGCTGCTGGGGAAGAAGATTGGTGTGGATAAATAGGGAGCTATTCTTGAGGCTCTGGGAGAAAAAGAGAATTACCTCCTGTGGAAGAAGGGACGGAGACTCAGAAAGAGCAGAGAGAAGTTGTTAAAATGTGTAGAGAGAAAATCAGAAAGGCAAAAGCCCAGCTTGAACTCAACCTGGCCACTGGGGTAAAAAGGAACAAGAAACTCTTTTACAAATACGTCAACGGTAAGAGGAGGACTAAGGAGGATCTCCATTCTTTAGTGGATGAGGCTGGGAACGTGAGCACTGAGAATAAGGAAAAGGCAGAGGTTCGGAATGCCCTCTTTATGTCTGCCTTTCAAGGTCAGACCAGTTATCCTCAGGGAACTCCACTCTCTGACCTGGTGGTCTCAGCTGGGGTGCAGACTGAACCCCCCCCGATTCAGGAGGATGCAATCAGAGACCTGCTTCTCCAGATGGACTGTCATGAGTCCATGGGGCCGGATGGATTCACCCAGAGAGCTGAGGGAACTGGCGGAGGTGAGAGCCGAGCCGCTCGCCATTGTCTATCAGCGCTCCTTGTTGACTGGTGAGGTCCCAGAAGACTGGAGGCTTGCCAATGTGACTCCCATCTACAAGAAGGGTCGTAAGGAGGGTCCAGGGAGCTACAGGGCTGTCAGCCTGACCTCGGTGCAGGGAAGGTTATGGAGCGGATTGTCCTGAAGGAGATCACGTGGCAGGGGTGGGACAACCCGGGGATCAGGCCTAGCCAGCATGGGCTCAGGAAGAGCAGGTCCTGCTTGACCAACCTGATCTCCTTCTATGATCTTCTGACCCGTCTGGTAGACGAGGGAAAGGCTGTTGATGTGGTCTGCCTAGGCTTCAGCAAGGCCTTTGACGCTGTCTCCCACCTTATTCTCCTGCAGAAGCTGGCAGCCCGAGGCTTGGACAGGTGCACTCTTGGCTGGGTAAGGAGCTGGCTGGAGGGCCGGGCACAGAGAGTGGTGGTGAATGGAGCCAAATGCAGCTGGCGACCGGTCGTGAGCGGTGTTGCCCAGGGGTCGGTGCTGGCCTGTCCTCTTCAGTATCTGTACTGATGTCCTGGATGAGGGCACTGAGTGCACCCTCAGTAAATTCGCAGATGACACCAAGTTGGCTGGAAGTGTGGATGTGCCTGGGGGTAGCGAGGCCCTACAGAGGGATCTGGACAGGCTGGATGGCTGGGCTGAAGCCCATGGGATGAGTTTCAACAAGGCCAAATGCCGGGTACTGCACTTCGGCCACAACAACCCCAAGCAACGCTACAGGCTTGGGGCAGAGTGGCTGGAGGACGGTGTAGAGGAAATGGACCTGGGGGTATTGACTGATGCTCAGCTGAAGGTGAGCCAGCACTGTGCCCAGGTGGCCAGGAAGGCCAATGGCATCTTGGCTTGCATCAGAAAAGGTGCTGCCAGCAGGAACAGGGCAGTGATTGTCCCCCTGTACTCAGCTCTGGTGAGGCTGCAGCTGGAGTAGCGTGCAAGTTTTGGGCCCCTCACTGCAAGCAAGACATTGAGGCCTTGGAGCAGGTTCAGAGAGGGGCGACAAGACTGGTGAGGGGTCTGGAGCACAGGGCTGATGAGGAGAGGCTGAAGGAGCTGGGATTGTTCAGTCTGGAGAAGAGGAGGCTCAGGGGAGACCTGATTGCTCTCTATAACTACCTGAAGGGAGGTTGTAGTGAGCTGGGGGTCGGCCTCTTCTCTCGTGTGACTAGTGATAGAACTAGAGGGAATGGCTTCAAGCTGCCAAACCAGGGGAGATTTAGGCTGGACGTTAGGAAATACTACTTCTCTGAAAGAGTGGTCAGGCACTGGAATGGGCTGCCCAGGGAGGTGGTGGAGTCACCGACCCTGGAGGTGTTCAAGGAACGTCTGGATTTTGTGGTGAGGGACATGGTTTAGTGAGAACTACTGGTGACAGGTGGATGGTTGGACTGGATGATCTTGTAGGTCTTTTCCAACCTTGGTGATTCTGTGGTTCTGTGGTTTGAGTGGAAGGAACCTTAAAGCCCACCCAGTGCCAACCCCTGCTAAGTGCTGGAACGCCACCCACCTGGTCAGGCTGCCCAAAGCCCCATCCAGCCTGGTCTTGAGCACCTCCACGGATGAGGCACTGACAGCTTCTGTGAGCAGCCTGTGCCAGGGCCTCAGCACCCTCTGACTAAAGAATTCCTTGGTAATTTCTAAATCTAAATCTCATTCCCTGTCACAGTCCCTGACAAATCATCCTTCCCAGCTTCCCCAGAGGCACATTTAGCTAGTGGAAGGCCACAAAGAAGTCTCCCTGGAGCATCCTCTTTTCTGAACCAAACAAGGTCAACTTTCAACCTATCTTCATAGGAGAGGTGTTCCAGCCTTCTGAGCAACCTTGTGGCCCCATCGCCAAGGAACTGTGGGGCTCCACCCAGACAGCATTCCCCTTTTTTGTAGTCAGACTGCGCCCACTGCCACAAAATCGACATGCGCAGTCCTCCTACCCCGAAGCCCTCATTTATTTATTTATTGGAACTGTGAGGCACAGAATCTCTCCCTGGACTTCTGCAAGGCCTTTGGCATGGTCCTACACCATATCCTTATATCTAAATTGGAGAGATACGGTGGACTTTTTAGCACATAAGGAACCGGTCAGAAGTGGATGCACGTCCAGGTGGAGGCCGGTGATGAGCAATGAGAGGTTGGTCTTGGAACCAGTACTCGATACGTGATGGGATGGAGTGCACCCTCAACAGGTTTGCTGATGACACCAAGCTGAGCAGTGCAGATACTGCAGAAGGAAGGGATGCCATCCAGAGGAACCTTAATAAACTCAAAAGTTGGGCCTCTGTGAACCTGATGAGTTTCTGCAAAGCAAAGTGCACTTGGATCAAGGGAATCCCAGATATGGATACAGACTGAGTGAAGAACTCCTTTAGAGCGGCCCTGCTGAGAAGGTCTTAGGGGTCCTGGTTGATCTAAAACTGAACACAAGCCAGCAGTGTGCACTTGCAGCCCTAAAGGCCGATGTTATCCTGGGTCCCATCAGAAGATGGGCTGCCAGCAGGGTGAGGGATTGTCCCTTTCTGCTTTACCGTTGTGAGGCCCATACAGAATATTTCATCCAGGTGTGGAGCCTCTCCATGGAGGAGAAGAAGGGAGGATCACCTCCATCACCCTTCTGTCCACACTCTGTGCAATGCACCTCTGGGTACCGCTGGCCTTCTTGGCCACCAGGGCACACTGCTGGCTCACGGTTAACCTTTGGTCAACTACTAGTCAACTGCTGGTCAACCACTTCAACCAGCATCCTGCGGGTCCTTTCCTGCAGAGCTCCTCTCCAGCAGCTCAGCCTTTAACCTCTACTGATGCATGCAGTTATTCCTTCCCTGCTGTAGACTCCACACTTGCCCATGTTGAGTACCATCAGCCTCCTCACAACACAACTCTCAGCCTGTCCAGATCTCGCACGGCCATCCCACCCAAGTCAGCCTTGGGTCGAGACTGCTCTGTCTCATTTCCCTTGGCAAACAGGGGAAAAAAATGGGAAAATAAATAGGGAAATAGGGCAGAAAAAGGGATAGCCCTACACATGCTGCCCAGGAGGTGGCATATCACTCAGGCACCACCATTCAGCAGTTTCACAGACCCAGCCATGTTTATTGAGGCCCACAGCTGTGCTCCATGCCCTACTCATTCTGCCAACCCCAGGTGATGTACAATACTCAACTAAAGGAGGTCCCATGACGTGGGTTGCTGCACCCCGGGCTTGCAGCAAGATCTGGTGGATGGGGACAGTCCCCACTGCATTATTGTCACCAGGCTCCCCTGCCCTGCAGGATGCAGGAGTACCCACTGGTTTTACCCAGCAGCCACCTTCTCCTTACACATCCCTACATCACCAGCTGTGTTTGGGATATTTTGGGGACACTGTGGCCTCAGAACTCCCTCCAGCACTGCTGCCACATCATGTGCTTAATTCCATCACGTGGCGTCACCTCCCTGCCCGCAGCTTTCACTCTGGTGATGGAGGTGATCTTGGTCCAGCTGTGGGGACATCACCATGGCCCTGCGGATGCTGCTCCCCCCCAACGATGCACAGCAGCTCCTCCAGCTCCTGCTGCAGACGCAGGCCCAACAGCTCCTGCAGCAGCTCCCAGCGTCGGCTGCACGGTGCCACCCCCATGCGTTGCAGCGTCCCCTCCGTCAAGCGCAGCAGGGCTCGCCCAGTGACTGCATGCTCAGCTGCCAGAGGTGCCAGGTCCCCGTGTCGTGCACTCAGCCACGCACACACCTCTGGCACCGTCCATTCTGCTGGGGGCACCTGTGTTAGGAGGAGAGGGGTGAGCTGTGGGTGTCCCTTTGCTACCCAGCCCCATGGGAGTGATAGTGGCTCCCCGTGCCGCAATCACCTATCCTGAAACATGGCCCTTCTGCCATCCCCGTGCCAGTGGCTGCATTCATATCCCCCAGTAACCCACTGTGGGGGCTGCAGCTACTGCCCTCCGCTCACCTTGTTGGGCAAACATCCTTCCTGCAGCACCTTGGCTCCATCCTGTACCCGGGGCTCCATGGGGGGATCCAGTCAGGCGTAGGGGTTCCCTGCAAACAGCGCTGCGATAACTGCAGTGAACACCGACTCCTTCACCCAGTGCAGACCACCCGATTTGTGCCCCCCCTTGGGCCAAAGCTGGGGTGAAGTCCTGGTGCTCGGTGTGAGGGTGCAGATCCCGGAGCACCCAGGAAATGAGATCAGCCCCAGTTCCCCACCCCCTCCACAAACCTGGGGATAATGAGGGGCACCAGCATGCCCCAGTGCTCCCAGCCCAGTCTGGATCCCTCCTCCATCCCCCTCCCCACCACACTCCCCTTCACACCTCTCCCCCAGGTGAGCACAGACCCACAGCACTGAAACCAGGAAAGCAAAAGGAACCTTTGCCCGGGCACTCCCTCTGCAGGCACACCACAGGGCTGCCAGGGACACGGCTGCTCTGTGGTCCCCCCTTCCTCTTTGCCCAGCTGCATCCTCCTCATGCAGCTCAGGGATTGTTGAGACCCCAGCCAGCCCCAAGCGCAGGATTTCCTAGGGTCAGAGGAGCACAGAGCACGGCACCAACCTTACTCGTGAGCAGGTGAGGGAGCACTGCAAAGGCTCCTCCATCTCCTGTCCCCATCAGCTGTAGAAAAGGCCCATCTCTGCCTGCATCATGAGGAAAAGCCCTCAGGTACCCACAGAAATCAGCGTGGACGCACACAGCAGCCTCACCCCAACACTAAGGAGAGGCAGCAGGCACCAGACCAGGATGAACCATAGGGATGAGTCATGTCCCAAAGGCTGCAGCCCTGCCCCACCGAGCTTGTAGGAACCAGTCGCTGCCTGCAACAGCCCCCAGGGCTTGCGCTGGGATGGTCGTGCTCGTTCTCCCCCCCTGCAAAGCAGGACTGCACAGAGTTATGCAATTTGCAGCTGCTGCAAGAAAAATGCCACATGCAACCAGGTGGGTGCAGAGCTTCCAGCACTTACATGATGCCACAGCCATGGGAACACACTCCTACACGCATGGGAACACCAGGGATTGCAGAGCTGGCACACCACGATCAGCAGGGAAGCACGGAATGGCCAGCAAAACCAAAGAGCTTCTCCCCACGTTCTGACTTCCAACCCCAGCCACGCTGCTGTGCAGCGCTCCCTTCAGTGCAGAGCAGCAGCATCGCATGAGATTTACAGCCAGGAACAGTCGCCACCCACCTGTTATCTCAGGCTGTGCCAGCCCACAGGGGACTTGCAGGATTGGGTTCATTCATACGTGGGACTGAAAGGTTTCTGCAGCTTGTTTTGTCCGAATTTTCAGAACACAGGTTGCACGCAGGCTGCTACAGAGTGCACAGGATACACGAGCAGGGCTGGTTCTGACGATGCATGTGGGTGCTGGAGCTCAGTGTGATTTCTGGGCATGAGAAAAGCTGTTTCATGCTTCAGAAAGCAAAGACCCCACCACAACCCCCACAGAAACTCTTCATGCAAACAGACTGGGGAAAAAAAAACAACCCAAACTTTTTGTTTTTCTGGTTTATTGAGGCTAACATCAGTGACACTCATTTCTCAGAAGCAATTTGCTCATTCCAACGCTGTTCAGACACTGTGCAGTAAACCTCCTCCTTCGAACCACCTCAGGCACTTGAGTTCAAAGCCATTTCTGGGAACAGCAGCACCTTCACTCTCAGCTCAGCCTGACATTCAGCACTTTGTGCATCTCCTCATCCCCAAACTCTGCACTCCATTTCGGAATCATTCTTTTTCTCCAGGAATAAACAAAAAAGCCAAACCACATCTCGATTACTGAAGAACTACAGTTGAGATCAGTGTGGTCACAAGGACACTGGAGACACTAAGAGATGTATTGACTTTTATTCTCCTGGAAGTGGAATATTTCTTAAGAGTGCGCTCGTTAGCTGACAATTACCAGCAGAGTAGCTACAAGATATATACAAAGGCCACCAAAAGTCCTTCGCAAGGACTGTATGTACGCTTTCATTAGTGCATTGAAATGGCATTGCCAGGCACAGGATACACAAATACTCCTTCAGCAGTCCCTCATCCCACTACTGAGGGTAGAGCTCCACCAACATCGCATGCCCCTAGAAACAGAGAGAGGAAAAGAGAAGTCAGGGAAAGCACTGATGGTAACAGAGCAGCCATCCACATGTAACCACAAGCCTTGCTCTGAGGGCACAGCAAAAGACAGCGCAGCACCATTACCTGCCCTCCTGCAGCGCAGGCAGCGATCAGGCCGTACTGCCCTCCCTCCTTCCTCAACCTGTGGGCAGCAGTAATCGCCAGGCGGCAGCCAGTGGCACCGAACGGATGTCCCAGAGACAGGGAACCACCCCAGGTGTTGAACTTCTCCAAGGGAGGGGCTCCAACCTGCAACAACACACACAGTGACACACACGTGAAGAGACAGCCTGCCCTCGCCACAACAGTGCAGCACGTGGGCTCACCAAGTGTTTCTTAGAGTGCACGAGTGCTTGGTGACAGCACAAAGCTGTGCCAAAGGGTTTTACTGCTTCACTGCAGCCTGTGCTGCTTGAAGGCAACCGGAAGCACTGACCTCATCCACTGCCTTCATTCCCAACTGTCACTACAGTGTGTCTGGGTTTCCACCTCCTGCTGTCATGGGGAATGCCACCACTTCTGTGGTGCCACCATTCCCACAGAAGCTGTTCAGATTGGGATTTGCAAAGCCAGAGTTCATGACACAAAGGCTGTGGGAAGACCTCACTGCAGCCTTCCAATACTTGAAGGGAGCGTAGAAACAGGAGGGGGAACGGCTGTTTGTGAGGGTGGATGGTGATAGGACAAGGGGGAATGGTTTTAAACTGAGACAGGGGAGGTTTAGGTTGGAAATTAGGAGGAAGTTTTTCCCCCAGAGGGTGGTGAGGCACTGGAACAGGTTGCCCAAGGAGGCTGTGGATGCCCCATCCCTGCAGGCATTCAAGGCCAGGCTGGATGTGGCTCTGGGCAGCCTGGGCTGCTGGCTGGTGATCTGCACACAGCAGGGGGTTGGAACTGGATGAGCACTGTGGGCCTTTGCAACCTAGGCCAGTCTATGATTCCATGATTCTATGATTTCTCCCCATGAAGCACAACAGAAGCACAAGCCACAGTGTGGAATCCAGTCATTTTGAGTAGAAATTAAAGATAAAAACATCCTGGCACAGTCCTTACCTTTGACTTCCTTCCCATGTAGTTTTGTGCAAACCAGTCCGAATCCATAGCTTTCATGTTAGCCAGTATCTGCCCCTGAAAGAGAGAGAACAGACATTAAGGAAAGCCTGCAGATAGTTCTAACAAACCCAAGATATCCTGAGATTACCCACAGCCACAAAACATTTTACAGTTGGAGCCTCAGTATTCCAGAATAACTTACAGCAAAAGCTTCATGGAATTCAAACACATCGATATCAGCCATGGTCAGACCAGCCTTCTCCAACACTTTGGGAGTAGCATATGTTGGACTGATGAAGAAGAGGTAAGAAACAGGAGTCATGTATGTTTCTTCCCATGATTATTCCCATTTCTCCAAGCCAGCTAACTTTCCTTCTCCCCAGGATGCACAGTACAGCATTTGTGCTGGTGTGCTAGTATGAGCTGTTAGGAGATGCTCTTCATCATTGCCACCTACCCCAGCAGTAGTTGGTCCTTCGGATCCTGGGACACATAGACAAAATCCCTGCACAAAACAAATGCGATGAGTAACAGAAAGAGGAGAAGGGAGCAAAAGCAGGCCTCAAACCCCATTCAGTCCCCTTGTTTACCTTAGGTAGGCCTTGGGTTTGTACCCTAGTGCCAAAGCCTTCTCTTCAGACATGAGCAGCATCGCTGAGGCACCGTCCGTCTACAAGAGGCAGACAAACCCATAAGGTCACTGCCCAAGGGCAAGCACACAGCACACACAGCCAGCCTGACAGCCCCCCTGAGGGGTGCCCACATGGAACCATGGCTTCCAGGCTCTGCCAGAGCACCCCAACCTCCCCAGAGCTGGTTTTGCTGGTTTGCACTGCCTGAGTCCTATGAAACTTCAGGAACTGGGAGTCAGATAAATCCCACCTAATTTAAAGAACTACTTTGGACTTCAGCACGGCTGACAGTTGGATTTGATGTTTTCTTGAAGGGCTTTGCCAACCAAAGTGATTTTATGATTCTATGAAAAGAGCTTCCTTAAAAAGTGTTAGAAAATTTGGCCCAAGGAGGCTGTGGATGCCCCATCCCTGCAGGCATTCAAGGCCAGGCTGGATGTGGCTCTGGGCAGCCTGGGCTGCTGGTTGGTGACCTGCACACAGCAGGGGGTTGGAACTGGATGAGCATTGTGGGCCTTTGCAACCCAGGCCATTCTGTGATTCTATGAAAATCAGGAGTTATGCAGAAGAGCATCACCAGACACGTGTTATAGAAATCTCTTCTCTTGCTCTGTGGAGGGTAAAGCCTTCAAGTGACAAGTTTAGTTTAAAAAGCTATTAACTTCCAGACCCACAGTGCAATCAGTCCCATCAGGGACAGAACTTCTATGTAGGCCTCTGAACAATCAACTCTGTGCTTTTCCAGAGATGGCTACAGCAAAGCAAAGAGGTAAAACCAGACAGCATTTCAGGGTTTAGTTCTTGGCTACCACTTTCCCCTGCTGGCTCACACAGGTCTTACCAGAAAGGATGAGTTGGCAGCTGTGACAGTTCCATAGGGCTTGACAAAAGCTGGCTTCAGTTTGCTCATCTGCTCCAGGGAGGATGGACGGATCCCATTGTCTTTGGTAACTGTATCTTTGCCTGGGGATGGTTTTTAAGAAAAAAATATAAGCAACATATATGAACATCAGCATTCCAGAAGAAAAAAAAAGAAATAAAGGCAGAAAAATATGCTTTTTATGACACGTTGGAGGAAGAACAGGAGAAAAATCTATCTGTGGTATCAGGATGTTTAACATGGCTGAAAAAATAATACTGAAAACTGAAGCTACTTTACTTCCTCTCTGAAGACTGAAATACAAGGAAGTGCTGCAAACTCTTTACTGTAATATGAAATCAGCACACTGTAAATCCAGCTGATAATCAGCTTCCAACTGGAGAACTGAGTCTAAATCAGGATATGCTTACGTGTCAAGATCCAAGGAAGTAAAAGCACTGGAAATAATCAAATCACAGAATCATATAATGGCCTGGGTTGAAAAGGACCACAGTGATCATCTGGTTTCAACACCCTGCTGTGTGCAGGGTCACCAACCAGCAGACCAGGCTGCCAAGAGCCACATCCAGCCCAGAGAGCCACATAAGCATCTGTGACAATACTGACTGCTGAAACACACCAGCTAACAAGAACCAATTTTAGATTGTAGGTACCTGCAGATCTGCAGAAGTAAGGCCTCGTTAGGAAATTAACCCCACAATAAAAGTGTCCCCCACAAAAGTTTCATACCTCAGCAATGCTTGTAAGGTCTGGTGAACTGGATGCTACCTAGCTGGAACTAGGTGAACTTTGAGGTCCCTTCCAACCCAAGCCTAATTCTAATTCTATTCTATGAAACCAGGTGTTCAAGTTTCAGGCCTTCCTGACCAAACCCTGATTCATCAGCCCATGATTTTATTAGGCCATTTGTTATTATCTTGGAATGTAGTGTTTGGTTCTGATTTTCCTTGCTCAGTCATCACGTCGGAAGGGATGCAAAGTAGGTACTACAAAATCTAGACATGTAAAGATAAATTCACATGTTTAGATATGTGTGTTTGAACACATGCTCCTATGTCAATAGGTTTCCACTGAGCAACAGAGGGCATATCACAGAATGACAGAATGGCCTGGGCTGAAAAGGACCACAATACTCATCTATTTTCAACCCCCTGCTGTGTGCAGGGTCGCCAACCAGCAGACCAGGCTGCCAGAGAGTTAAAACACCAAGCC